GCGCTCGAGCCGCGGGAGGATGTTTAGCAAACACTCGGAAAATTCGCTGCATCACCTTTCGGGCCGGCGTTCGGCAAACAGCCGCGCTGCTTGGAGCGCTTCCAGAAAAGCCGTCGACGCTCTCCGACGTAGGCGCCGGCGTCCGTGTCCACAAACTTCTAGGACGGCGGGGTCGGTGGATTCGCGAGGATCGGATCGGTCCCCGAGGTTTGCGCGCGTTTTTACGCGGCTACCCTCTTCCTGTCGCGTCTGCGGTCGACGAGGGTAGCCGTGGAACGCGCGACAACCGCCGCAAACGTTCGCCATTTATCCCGGACGAGTCGATGACGAGCGTCCATCGCGGTGGCGGAAGCACAATATCGCTAGCAATACAATAACCACAATGGACCATTTCGGCATCAACCTGTTCCGCAAAGCCGGCCGGCGTTCGGTCTCGTTTGAAGTCCCCGACGCCAGGCGCCCTTTCCCTCCCTTTCTTCGCCAACCCTTCTCTCCGTCGCGATCCATCGAACGAAAGGATTTCTAAATACTCGTTCGCGGTATTTGCGGATATCCGCCGGTAGTCCGCGCTGGGTCTCGAAATACCTGGAAGCGTGCTGCCAGGATCGGCATCGAAAAGGGAAAGGGTCGACTATGGGAACGGGGATGAGACAGAGAGAGTGATCGGTTGGAAAGCAGGAGGGAACAAACGACGGGACCTTCTCTCACGGGGCGCCTGCAATCCGATCCTCAAAGCCCATCGGGTAAATACATCCAGCCTGTGCAAGGTGGAGGGAAAGAGCGTTTAATTAATTCCATCCAGTGCGCCGCTATGGCCGCGGAACGTTGCCGACAATTTAGCCTCGCGTTTGGGACTCGGTGCGTACTGCAGCTGGGAGTTGCCGATTATCGACAAATTATCGGTATCTTATCGATAACGATAAAAAAACCTACTTCTATATAGAAGGACATATGTCCTAAATTGTGTCTTCTCTACAGCGGTGGTCCAGCGCAGATGACGGCCCAATTAGAGCAACCTAAACTACATATTTTTTAATTCGTTACGTTACTGGGATTCGTGGGTTCCCCAAACAATAAAGTCGATACAAGCTCTAATCTCCGATAAATTCGAACAAGAGTTCTGACCCATATTCCGCTCGCGATCTCGTCGCTTAGATACTAGAACATATATCTTTACCCTTTAATTTAAGTTGCCGTGTTGCGAACTGTATCCGTCTTAACGAACGTCATGGTCGAACGAAATACCCAGGGGTTCGCGAGAGTTAGCTCGAAATTAAACGATTCCATCGCGAAACAACGGCGACGCGCGTCACTCACTTTACGCGACGACTTTGTCTCGTTCCAGCCCCCACGGAATTACCTCGACACGAAGAGAGAGCCGTCATTCAACCCCGTCAGCGGCTCGTCGACGCATTGTGCCCAGGCTCGTAGACTCGAAACACCCCTGCGTAAAGCCTCGTCGAGACGTTGGAGGGCACCACGTTACAGTCCTTTCGACGAAAAAGGGCACCGCAACCTCCTAAACCTGGACCCTTCTGCCTCTTTTTTTTTCCTCCGACGAGTCACCGTGTTCGCTCTCTAAAAGGACGACACCGTGCTCTGTCCCTTTCCCGCTCGCGCCCTCCGCGTCACTCGAGCCCCGGGCTCTCGCTCGCGCCCTCGTGAAAAGAGTCTGCCACGCAGCGGGAAGAAATAAGAGTGGGGGTTGCTATCGCAGCGAGCGGAGTGGTGGTATCTGGGTAGGTGGAGGGGACTCGAGGGATTCGAGAGAAGGGGTAGACACGAAACGGAGCCTCCGAGCGAGCGGACGAAAGCAGAGAGCAACAGTGTGCCGCGCGACGCCGACGAGCGAGCGTTGCGGAACCTGTGGTGATCGTGCAAACGCGTGTTTCGGAGTCCGAGAACCGGCAACAGAACATCGGTGCACGCGGCTACTTTTTTACGCGACAACAGTGAAATGCTTCGAAAATAAAGAACTTTCTGCAAACACATTAGCGAAGAAAGTGAGAGTGCAATCGTGAGATCGTTCGGAGCTACCCTTCTAGGAGTGAAAAGTAAAGAACGATTTGTACACCCGAGACTCCTGCGTGGTTCTATCGAAATCACGGTGTCTCGAGAAATGATAAGTGTATCGTAATCCGCATATGGCTCGCTCGATCTCGTCAAGGAGATTCGTGCCAAATTTCCACCTGGCCGTTTCTCCGCGAGAAGAGACGCTCGAACGATCGCAAGAATCGTAGTGTGATTCGCGAAGGGATACCGTGTGGAGTTCCGAAGGATACGTGTTGAAGAGTAAAAGCAGCGTTTTGGAGAAAACGTATGGTGTTCGAGTGATTCGTGAAGGAAAGGCACACAGTGCAGTTCGAAGGATACATGTTCGACGTTGAGAAATAAAAATCGAGTTGTGTGTTGTTGTGATACAAAGTGGTCGTGCGAGCGACTCAGCCGCGAGGGAGGTGTCGATATCGTTGAAGGAAATGTGCTGCTAGCGAATCGGCAAGGTGTCGCCCGAATTTTTGAGGTGAGTCTCTGATTTTATTTGCTCGATAGACACTGAAGATTTAGGAACATTATCTGGTTACAAATGCTTCGAGAAATCTCCTTATATCACTGTCAATAAATTTTTTAAAAATTTGGGTTCGTTGCACTTTCGATTTTCTGCTTATATTACGAAACGTGGAAACCATGAAGTTAAAGTGACGATGTTCGATAAATAAATATTGTAGTAGAAACTGTTAATGATCTCTCTCGAAAGAGGGTTAATCGTGATTCTAAAAACCAGCTGTTCCGACGGCCAGCAACCACGATCCTGAAACACGCGGTGACCGCATTGATTCGTCGCCTACGCGAAAATCCACGAATCTATAAAATAACGATAGGAAAAATCGTCGAGGCAATCGTTCGAGACGCCTTCCCTTTTAATTCACGAGAGAGGACGGTCTTGTTGCCTGATCCTCTCGCGGATTTCTCGCGACGAGATTCGTCGCGGAACAAGGTATTTTTCCGCGGTGAACGTAATACGATGGCTCGGCTACGTCCGGATCCAATTCACCGGCAGACGCGGACGATGGAAAAACGAGAGACGAGAGAGAGGAATTCTGGGCGAACACGTCGAGGGTGGCAGAGAAAGGCAGAACTTAATGCAACGGGCAAACAAATAAAGCATCTCCGACGGGGATTGAAAAGAGTCGACGTGCTGTTGAAATCGATATTCGCGACTCGTTGCAAAACGTCGAGCGAGATTAACGCGATGCACGCTGGACCAGAATCTTAAGAAATAGAGAACCGACGCGTCATCTTTTTGCACCCGAAATGTCAAACCTCGCTTCCTCTTATAAAAAATACAATTAAACTTCATCCTGATAGAAAAGGCTAGTTAGGTATCTAGACACTCGTATTACAACTTTCGTTTCATAAAAATTGATCTACAAAATATTAATTAAAGATGTCTGATTAAAAACACGTACACAAAATTTACAAGTGGTAAACTCATAAAATATGAAATGTTCGATTACGTCGCAGAAAATATAATTTCATCCGTTTTTACGTCGATGCTAATTTCTCGGTTCCGTTTCTTTGGCGAATTAATCGCGAGCCCGTTTACGACGCTGGCTGTTGGTTAATTTCCATCGAATCACGCCGATGTTTACACTCGATTACTCGCCTTAATGGAGAATTTTCATCGCGGTAATTAATCGAATCCCCTGGCCGACGCGAAAACGCACACACTCCCTCCCGTTCCATTTGCGAAATTACGCGACTACTGTACCTGAGCTACTCGTTGCAGGCGTTCTTGTTTTTCCTTTTTTTCGGGTACGGGTGTTTGAAACATCCACGAAGCCAGGGGTCGATTTAAACGAACCACGGAGGAGGACCGGAGATGAAATTAGAAATAATCTCGGGACTCCCGCGACACTCGCGACCGGGATCCGGTGGCGGGCTGACTCTGTCGCTGACAGTTATTAGGAACTTATGGGGCGAGAGTTCACGGGGTAAATTCGGGTTCATTTTATGCTCACTGCTACGGTTTATTTTGACTACGTGGCGCGTTTACGCGTCTGGTTGCTTTCGAAACTTTTTCGAATTCGTTCCGTTTGTGTTATAATCCCTTTGAAATTGCTGGCCAATGCGTGGCGACTGCACATTTTTATTCGCTTTTTGCGTCGGATCGATTCGACGATGTATCCAGTTTGACGTTTTGTGTCGAGTTCACTTGGAGGACACGGTTTTAATTTACGCAAAATTGAAGACTCGAGATAGAAATAAAACGTGTCATAACCAACGTCAAATTTGTTGAATCGATTCGTGGGAACGAAGGTGGATTGAAAATACGCGCTAGTTGCGCCCTTGGCAGTGGATAGTTGGGGAAAACGACGATAGATGGAAGCACGTTATGGGGCTCGCGCTGAACCACGCGTTCGACTTTTTGCTTGATTCCGGCACCGATTTCCCGCTGACACGAATCTCGTCGACAAAGAAACGTTCAAGGAAATGCTCGTTACGATAACCGTTATCGTGTCGTGATCGTTCGCCTTAATGGACTTTGAACGATACTCGCTTTCGATATTGCTAATTGTTACTGCCACCCTTTGTTTCCTTCAGCCGTAACGGTTTCTTCCTTTTCGACTGTCCGCATTCTTTCAACCCTCTCGCAATAATGCACGCGTGTTTATTTCGCTTCCAACCCGTTACCGAATATTCGAGTTTCACTACTGGTTCGATATGTTGAAACGTCTAGCAAGAAACGCAATCGTTGCTGCAATTTCCGCTCGCAAACTTTTTGCGCTATTCGAACAAAGGGTATAAATAAGAGAGAAAAGAAATAACAACAGAATCGAACACTTTTGATATCGATGGCTTTAAACCGACAAAGCTATATTTAATGCGCGTCATTTTATAGCTTCGTTCCTCCCGCGATTTACCCCGTCGATAAATAATAATAGTAATAATTTCTCGTCGACGGAACAAAGTTTTCCGAGACCCTGTGACACGCGAACGAAAAAAGGGAACGAGAGAAAGAGCCGACAGCCGGACGAGACGCGAGATATGAAATTATTTATAAGTCCGAACCAATAAGCTATCAGAAAGCTATTAAAAGTTTTCGCGATCCAGAAATAACCTTTGCGTCCGGCGATATTCCCCAGAGGGTGATCTGCTCGTAACGTTTCCCAAGATCCCCATAGAGTTGCAACGCGTGTCTTCTTCGGGCGCATTTTTCCCTTTTATTCCCGAGGAACACCAGAAAGGGGATGATTTCCAAAGACTGCGAATCCTATATACGTTCTCTTGGACGTTTGCTCCCTTCGGATCGGGAGAACTGTCAATTTTTCATCGAATCTCTTCCTCTCTAACCCCTTTGCAATCTGGCAACCTTCGTTTGGAATGTGACGGTTTGTACATTTCGAGAAACGTAATAAAAGGAGAGGGTAAATCTGGCGAACTTTCATTTCGACGAATTCCTGAAAAGGACAAAGAAGAATCTGCTTTTTAGGAGCAGAAATTTCGGAAAATCTCCGAGATCGAAATCTAATAATTTCGACGAATGCAGGAACAAATATTCTAAAAAGATGCGAGCTTTAGGATCGTTTCAGTTCGAGAATAAATTTATAAAACTCGTTACGAGGAATCGCTAACGTCGCGTACCGAGTGCTTTCTAAATATTTGTAGTTTGACGAATCGCCATCGATTCTTGGGCGATACAACGACGGAGTGTTTGTAGACGCGAGGAGACAGTGGCCAGAGGAGGGGGTCAGAATGGGCAGCCTGCAATCTCGCAGGATCATCCCCTTGGCATCGATACTCTCATCACGAGTGTCAGCTAAAATATCCTCGGCACCGACAACGAAATTCTCGCAAAACTGTCCCTGTAAAGGGGGACAAATTTCGCACCCTCCTCGATCAACAGCGAAGCAACGAAATTTCACGAGGGTCATTCCCCTGTTTTCTTGTTTCGATCCTGGCTCGATTTTCGGTGCCACCGATATCGTTTAACGGGATGCTATTCCTCGTTGTTGCACGTCCACGGAGAACGAAACCGAGAAACGAATTTAAGGGTGTGGAAAAGTGGAAGGGGAGACCGTGACCATTCACGCTAACGGGAAAACCGTTCCATTCTGATGGTGAAGTGAACTCAATTTTCCAATATTCGAGTTTAGCGAGCAACCGGGGAATACGACAACGTGGACCACTTTCAAGAAACTCCGTCGTTAAATCGCTACCACCATTACCGACATTGCACTGCGACCAACCCTTGTATCGGGTTGTTGCGCGTCAAATGGCAGGTTTCGAAACATGCTCGACTGATTTGATGACATTAAAGTGGCGCAAAACACTACTCGTATCACTTCGAATGTACAAATGTTTCATAAATATTCAGCACCGATTGTTCCTTAGAACATACTTGCCTATTCACCCCTTGCACTATGGCTTATATGTCAAGTGCGTCAGTCAGAACTAATTGCAGCTACAATATTAACCCTTTGCACTCGAAGCTAATTTTACTGTTTACAAACAGCAACTTCAAAATATTAATTAAAATGTTAAATGACTTCTTTTGAAGTTATTATTTCTCTGCTAATAATTTCCACTATTATCTATTTCATTATGTTTATACATCACATAAGCACTGTTATAGAATTAATTAAATAATGCTTCTTTTAAATTATTGTATTAAATCGAATGGCGCCTCTCGAGCGCAAAGGGTTAATACAGACAAAAAGATTTGAAGTGTTATGTCAATATGTTATTATACAATCGTTGACTATGCAAATTATAATTGGACTTGAACTTCAAACTGAAGCGTACTAAAAATCCGAGTAAGATTGATCACAGCCGAAGTGCGTCACTAGTCTGACTCGTGAAAATAGTGCAAAGGGTTAAGAATCTCCCTATGCCATACGTAATATTTCGGAATGCTTCCGTCACCAAAAATTCTGTCCTTTATCCCTCGTAGATCGTTTACCCCCTCTCCGCGTTGAAAGGGGAGGGTGTAACGAGACATCTAAAACTACTTCCAGGCCACCCTCACTCCGCACGACGTAACCGCCCTCGTAAACTTTCTTCCTTCCTCCTTACGAGGAACCTCGTTACACCGACCCATCCCACCGACGCTGTTCCGTGGGGAGAACTTTTGCACGCACACGTGTTTCGCGTTTCTCACCGGTGCTTTATTAAACCGAGACCCCCACCTCCGACACGGAAACGACTTGGGGAGTCCCTGCGTGCCAGGTATTCGGTGATAGGGGCAGGTGTCACCGGGGCTTGCCGAATGTCGCTGCGGCGAACAACCCCTTCGCGATTTCGCTTAAAACGAGTTTACGATCCGCAAAAGGGGGTGGGTGGATCTTGTTGGAACGGTAACTGGGAGCTTGGTTTATCGGTCGTTAACTTGATCGTGATTAGTGTGCCGCTTTTAACTGCCGCCTCTTCCACTCTAAACGATACGACGTTGCTGAATGGCTTTATCGCGGGAAAGAAAATTTCATTCGTTTTTGTTGGAGTCGCTGATGGAACGAAGATTTC